ATCTGTGCTACTTACCACTACACCAAGCTGGCTCTCAGTAGTGGCTAGAGTGTCAGACTAGGATCTGGGAGATACAAGTTTGAATCCCCCCTCTGACATAGAAGCTTGCTAGGTGGCCTTGAGTTAGTAACACACTCTCATCTTAACCTAGCTCACAGAATTATTATGAGGATAAAATGAAGGACAGAAAAACCATAAAAGTTGTATTGGGTTTCCATTGGTAAGAAAGATGGAGTAGAAATTAAGTTCATAAATAACACCATGAGAGTGAGACGTGCCCTGAAATCACAGCCAATTTATGGTGACCTTCAACTAGATGATGTATGTAGAGTTACTAAGCTCTAGGTGGCGGCTGGGATTCTCCTGGAATTGCAGCTGATCTCCAGGTGACATACATCCATTTCCCTGGAGGAAAGGGCAGCTTCAGATGGCAGATCCTATGGTATCACAACCCTGCTGAGCACCCTCCACCTCAAAGTCTGCCTTCCCCAGTCAGTGTTCCCTCTAAGCTGAGTTAGTGTGAGCTAGCTCACAGTTTTTTAGCCTGCAACTCACACATTTTTGTCTTAGCTCAGGAAGGATGGCTCCGGATCAGACTAATCTATGCAGGAGCCAAATCGCTCACTCACAACTTTAATGTCAGTGGCTCACAAAGTAGAATTTTTGCTCACAAGACTCCACAGCTTAGAGGGAGCAGTGGTCACCACCCTTAAATCTCCTGGAATTTCCCAAGCTGGAGTTGGCAACCCTAGATATTTATTATTCAGACCTCCTACTTGTAGGGGATGAAGGCTTTGTGAGCCAACTTGAGCAAATCTCTGAAGAGGCCGCATATAAAAGTTTAAACAAAGTGGTAGTTAAAGTTCCCCAAATCTTTATAAGCATATTTAGCAGAAGAAAACACAGTTTATTTTTATTACATTATTGAAATTCTGGTTCAGCTAATCTGAAAGTCAAATTACATAGTTTTTGTAAACCTGATTATTTTTTATCAAAATGTACTTATAATGAATTGGCTGGTGGGAGCGGCTTGGTTATGCTGAATATTATTTTGAATGCTCGTGAAAACTTTAATACAGTAGTTTTAACAGTTGCTTTCAAAATCATGGTCAGTTAATGCTTCTGGTTTAGGATAAAGTCAACTGTTAGCCTGAACAGGCAGTCTCCAAACAAGCTCACGGTAAGTAAGAGAACTGGTGCTCAAAAACACAATCCAGTGTTAGGCACTGTGGCAGTCTCTATTATAGGTGAGTTCTGCTGCGCTTTTAAACACTTTTTTCCTGTCTCCCCTTCTCTTTAGGCCAGCAAGCAGAATGGTCGATCACTAAAGAAGAGAGCTCAAGACTTCCTTCTCAAGTGGAGCTTTTTTGGAGCACGAGTAATGCATAATCTCACCTTGAACAATGCATCGAGTTTTGGTATCTGATATGTATAAAACTCTCTCTTATCCCAGTTCTGTTGTGGCAGTGTCTAACCAGATCTCCTACCAGATGAAAATGTGGCATTAGTTAAGTTTTTCACTTTCACGGAAGTAATCTTTCAAGACTCAGAATTTTTAATTTTTCTGTAATTAAAAAATATGGAAGTAGTATGGTAATTTTTAAAAATTCCTTTGGCACTGGTAACCACATTCCCAAAGAACATGTCCCAGTGATTTTTTTAAAAAATGGACAATAAAATCATTTTTTTTAAAAAAGGAGTATCTGAATAAGAGTAATAGGGTTGCCAGGTCCCTCCTGGCAATACTAACGATGAAATTGGGGGGGGGGGGGGTCTTACCTGGAGAAAGACCAACTTCTACCACAGAGTTTTTGCCCAAATACCAGAACATTACCTGGATGTCACTGGCGTGATGATGTCACTTCCTGTGCAATGCCCCTTCTCTAGGTAAATCCCTAAGTCCCCCCACTGGCCAGCTCATTGGTGGCTAGGAAGCAAGGCCTGCCAGTGGGGGACCCCTGCTTCAACTGGGGGGTCTGGCAACCATAAAGAGTAGTCAAAAGTTATTGTTTTTTTCTTTTAGCTAAATAAGTATTACTAATATTATAGCATACAAATGATTAAAAAATCTGACCAGAATAATTCTGAGATGGGAGCTACAAAGACATTATTCTTACATATAAAATGTTAGAATAACTTAGTTGGATGCAGCCATATTTTGGCTCAATCTCAGCAAATATTCCCCCTTATTACAGCCCCACATTGTTTTTGTCCACAGTGGTCCCATAATCCCCAGCACAGCCTTTTTGGTGGTCAAAGGGGACTCCTCAGCCTTTTCCACTGGCGGAAAAGGTAGTTGGATGATCCAGCCCATAATAGCAAGCCCCTGTTTCTGAGCTTCACAATAAAAATGGCAGAGCTAAGCCCCACATTTCTTGTCCTCCTCTTTTGGCCTTTTTTCTTTCACAGCTGGGTTGTGAGGTGCATTTATTCTCTGGTCCAGCTGGGAAGGGAAGAGAGGGGTTACCAGGCCTTAGAGGTCCCAGCATGATTGATGTCCTGACAGCGGCAAATAGTGCAGGGATGAAGATGTGGATGCCGTTCCCACACATGCTCATGCCACTGGTTATGACTTCCACAGTGGGAGCACTTTTTCTCACACATGCACTCTCCACAGCAGAAGCAGACATGTAATATCTGAATAGACTGAAAGAAAGCTGCAAGGGTAGGGCTTCCATTATGAGCTGAGAAACTGAGAAATTCCTCCTATTAAAACAATGGAGAAATAGAAAGAGAACTCTGTTTCCTTATTTTTTTCACTTGGCTTCTCCAAATTAACCATCAGTCATGAAATGGAGAGAGAAGACTGCAAAGTGGTTGAGGTTTCTACTTATGTCTCTGAAACAGAGTCGAACAAGCCCTTCTTAATGCAGAGGGTTTGCTGTCTTCCATCAGCCAATATTAGTTTATTTATTTAAACTTTTATATTTCACCTTTCCTTGGGGCTCAAGGTGGCTTACAATGTGCTAGCTGCAATTAGCTTTTTCTTCTCTTCCTTATTTTTCTGCTTTCTACAGTCTTTTCAGAAAGATCACAGCAAAGCTTGATTGGTGCTATGTGGGTGGGAAAGTCTGGATCTTTCTCAGTCCCACCCACATTAGTAACATTTCCCCTTCTTTAGTTCCCCTGCCATGGTCATTTCTTGCCCCTGTGTCACCAGAGGCCTCTTGGGGGAGGGGGAAAATCGACAAATGTGATAGCTTTATAACACTACTAGAAATAAGGCCCGTTGTGGAAATAAATACAACGAGATCTAGAAAGAGGCTCTGGGAGAGTGCGCTGGCTTTGGGCAAACAGTGTCAATTTGCTGTGGCAACTTCAGCAGGGTATAATGACAGAGTCCACTATTTTCTCCAGAGAAACTGATCTGTGCTACCTGAAGAGCAGTTGTAATTTTGGGTGCTCTCTAGCCCTCACCTGGAGAGTGGCAACAATTGTTACCCAGGCTCCACCCCTCAAATCTCCAGGAATTTCCATGCCTAAAATTGGCAACTTTATCTCCTCCCCTCTCAGCAGCCTCTTTCTAGGCAAAATTCTGTCTTTCTCATTAGCGGGGAGCAAAGCAGCTTACCTTATTCTCTTCGGCTTTGCGATCTGTACAGCAACACTGTAAGGTAGGTTAGGCAGAAAGTCTGTGGCTGTTCCGAAATCACCCAGGCAGCTTCCATAGGCAGCCAGGGCTAGTGATGCCATGCCAGTCTGGAGGCATGAAGTCACCCTGAGAGTGCTTGCAGGCCTAGGGTTGCCATTGCCAACAAAGACAAATTGATGCAAAGGAGGATGGAAAAGTCTCCATATCTCTATTTTGCGTTAAATTGGTTTTGATGCCAGCAGAGTGAGAAAATGCCAGAGGCTCTGGGTGGGTGCCCCATCGTAAATGCACCAAACATTTCTTAAAGATTTTCCAAAACACTACTCTGTCGATAAATTGCAACAGTTTGAATTAGCACCAAAGCTTTAAGAGCTCTCCAGCTGTCCTCTGGAGACTGGCAACAGCTTGTTTGGAGGGTGGGGAGTATGGCATTGTATCTGTCTGAGGTCCCCCTCTTCCTCCTCCTCAGACCCCACCCTCAGCAAACTTCTTCCATAAAATATCCTGGCAGTTTCCAACCTGGAGTTGGCAACCCTATGTCCTTTCCAGGCAACCATCAGCCTACCTTTATCTGCCTGTCTGTCTTCAGATTTACTCCCCCTCACATCCTCTGCCTAGGGAAAGGGCAGTCTTTCCCTGCAGTGGAAACCAAAGCAGCTGACATCATTCTCCTCTCCCCCGTATGATCCGCACAACTACCCTATGAGGTATGTTGAGGTTGAAAGTGTGTGAATGGTCCATAATCCCCCAGGCAGCTTTTAAAACATGAACCTGGGACCTGCACACCATCCTCTGAAGCGCTCTCTGTGGCAGTAATGGGGTGACTGCTGGCACCTTTTCCTATCTTTTTTTGCCTTGTGGTATTCTGCTTGTGGTGTGATCTGTCTTCTTTGTGATGTGGCATGATTGTGTTATTGGGTTTGTTTCTTTTGAAGGGGAAGTGATGTGTTGTGAGTGAGGACATATTTTACCTCAGAATACAGTAGGTTCCATATGCAACTGGCAATTCCAACTGCCTTGCGGGGGGGGAGTTTGAGGTGTGGAATGGAGTGAAGTCCAATCAGCTTCCATATGCAAAAGACCTTGAAACGCTGGGCGGGACTGCACAAAGCAGCCAGTCAACCCAGCCAGCGTCTTCTGACTGACAGTTCTTGCAGCCAAACACTAAAGGTGTGCATTTGGAACATTGGAGTCCACTACGGCTTTATATATAAGGGAGAGATAACTGTTTGTTACTTAATAATTTTGTTTAATCAGATGAAGTGAGCTTTGACTCACAAAAGCTTATTGCCTGGAAATTTTTGTTGGTTTTTAAGGTGCTACTGAACTCGAACTTTGATTTTTAAAAAACCCAGAAAATGCCCCCTCACCAGTGGCCTGAAGGGAGGCAGTGGCTGCACCATGGGGGCTGGGGCAGGGAAAATACGAGAACGCTCGCTGTGTGGAAGCCCTGTTGCTGCTATGTTTAATCAGCACCTACAGTGGCACCAAGAAAACCCTGGGGAATCACAACTATACGTCATTTAAATATTGTACAGATTCTTCTGTTGGGAAGTGCAGTGCCAATAAGAAAGTCAGGAGTCACCTTTAATATAGGGTGCTATATCAAAACAATTATGGTAATATAATACATTTTTATGGCTTACTTTTGGTTCCTAGACTTTCTGGTCCTTTTGTATTTGGGGAACTGGAATGCAGCAAACCCAAGCTCCTTCTGGTAGAGTTCAGCCTTATCTGACACTAATGTATGCTCACTTCAAGTATAAAGCGTGTCTCACTTTCATCAGCATTGTACTTTGATGTCATTAGTGGCCAAATAACCTACAGGACAGTAAACACACTGAGATAGGTGGGCCACTGCAATGCAAGATTAGAGCAAGAAGTTAAGCACTGTTCCTTGTTGGTCTTAGCAGGTCATTTAAAGTCCAACAATTATTTGTTTGTTTCCACTTGCTTCTTTTAAAGTGTTGAGAGATGGTCATCAAGATAAGTTCACTGACATGCATACTCTCTCCACCTTTCTCCCCTTGCAAGGTTCGTTTCATCTGATCCGCATGCTTTTAGATGAATACATCTTGCTGGCCATGGAGACCCAATTCAACAATGACAAAGAACAAGAACTCCAGAATCTATTGGACAAGTATATGAAGAATCTTGGTAACTGGAAGGGGTAGTTCTGAATAATCAACAATGTACATACTTAAGTTTAAACATAACAAATGGAAAGCTTTACCATACTTAAATTTAAAGTTTGGGGGGGCTTATCATCTGTTATCTAGAGCTCACATGCTGATTTAGCTATTTAAATTTCTCAAACATCCCATCATAAAATCTCAGGGTACATAATAGTTAACTAACATCGAATCAGTAGAACTACCAACTTATCCTCAGCCATCAAATGCCAATCTGATCAAAAAAGCTTTCTGTGCTTACAAATGATGCTCAGATTCTGGCTTTAAGTCTTCAGAAGAAGGCTGAGGTACCTCTGAGAACACCTTTTGACGTGCCCTTGGCCGAGTAGACAGGATGTCACAGATGTAACATTAGCTCTAGAAGCCACTCTGAGATGCTTAGAAATCCCAACACAATAGAGAAGGAAATTTCTTTGGTATGTAGCACCTAAACTCTTGCAAGATTTTCCTGCTATTACTGCTTCTGCTCCATTCCTCCCTCATATAGCAGACCCCTCACTCCCCCCCCACCCAATATTGTTCCTGTGATCCCCATTTCACCAGGACCAGCATTTGGAGGGGGGGGGGATTTTTGGACTGCAGTGGCAGACGAAAGGCAGCAGGAAGAAAAGGATACAGTGAAGTAGGGTTCAGGAACTCATAAGGGGTGAAGGAAGCTGGGGAGCTTGCAGGAATTTGGGGGTGGAGTATTGGGGAACATATTCAGACCCTGTCAAATGCCTGATGAAGTAACTGAAAGTAACACAGGGTCTAAATCTGAAATTGGCTTCAAAAAAGACCTGGTTTTGATATTTAAAAAATCCCTCTGTTTCAAACTGAGTTTAGATGAATTCATTTATCACTACTACAATCCAGTATAATATACTAAAAATCCTTTAAACATTATTTTAAAAAGCATTCATAATCAAATGGTATGATTTTCTTCACACCTGATCAATTTGTATACCATGGCTGGCTCTCCCAGAGAATTTCCACACGTGTAGTGGAGGGCAATTTTTGCCAATTCCTCTCTAAAATGGCAGGATTCCAATTCCCGCTACGCTGTTCATGTGAGAGTCCTCTGTCCACTATGAGCGGCACTTGGGGGTGCATGCCGGACTGCAGTAGCAGAGGGGATGGTAAGAAAGTTGTACTCTGAGGATGGAAATACCTTCCGTCTGCAAAAATCTTCCAGTAATTTACACCCTATTTATATTACAGTTCAGTCCTAAACAGTCACACCTTTCTGTCAATTTGAGTGGGCTTTGAAAGGTACCACTCTGCTTACGATTGCCCTGTTAGATTTACTTGTCTTTCCATATTACCTTGGCTCCTCCACAGCTCCAAATAGATTATCTCTCCCTGGTCTCTGCATGACCTGGAGTTCAGCCAGGTGGAAACACCATCCACTGGAGCATCTTTTTTTCCCCATTTCACAAAAACTACTGTTACTCTTTCCAACTAAATCAATGCCTCCCTTTCTCCAGGTGCTTCTTTTTTCAGAGGTTTATAGTTCTATGCTACTAGACACAAATAAAAATACTGTTGACTGATAGTTTAAAAGTTTGAGATGGTTTGCAGTATGTTTATGAATCTATAGCAATTCAATTGTCCATTAGCTTCTGTGAAGACTGTTTTTGAGTTTCATGTATAAAGCTAATCTCCAGATAACCTGTAACTTTCCATAAAAAACATAATCACATTGTCTCTGGTGACTGACATCATGCAATTCCTTTCATAGTTACTGATGGCTATATATCCATTTGTATATTCTCACTTTGATTGGATATTGATGAAATCAGAATTCCCCTTTAGCCAACAGAATGTTCTGTTCTCCCCCAGCATGTAGTCAGGCATTTATAAGGCTGCAATCCTACACATGCTTACATGACAGTGAGCCCCACTGACTACAGTGGGAATTACCTCTGACTAATCATGCTTAGGATACGGTCGAAAAGCTCTTAATTCTTTAGCCATCTTCACAAAAATGAATGCAAAGCAGTTACCCAATTATATCCCCAAATATATTTGTCCATCTAGTGGATGTATGAAATGTGTGAGAATTAGAGCCTCCATAGATGAAGTTTCAAATTATTGTGTAGTTTGATATAACACAAGTCTGTGCAACTATCTGAGCTTTCTATAGACAGCAATTTTAAAAAGGTGGAGCTTTATGTGCTCAGTGTGTAATAAGATGTGAAACAACAAATGGGATGGGGGGGGGAGGAAGAGGTTTGTCTCTTCAGAAAATTTGATGCTTGTTTGTTTCCAAAATAAGGGCATTTTCTGCCATTAGTTGCAAACAAAAACTGTGCTTTATGTTTTCATTCTTGCTGTGTGGATTTGGGGGGGGGGATATCTCTGGTAATATACATAGAGAGGCTTGTTAGTTACTGCTTCCCTCATTACATGGAAAGCACTTGTGCTGTCATGGATGTAATGTGGGAAATCCCCAATTCCTGACTTTGATTTGGTGAAAACTCATAATATGGCTGAATGAATAACAGCATATTCTTACAGTTTCAGAGGGTAACTGTGTTGGTCTGCGGTAGAAGAGCTAGTTTCAAGACCAGTAGCACCATAGAGACCAATGAGATTTCGGGGTATGAGCTTTCAAGAGTCAAAGCATCTGCCGAAGGGAGCTTCTACTCCCAAAACCTTGTACCCCGAAAATCTTGTTGCTCTCTAAGGTGCTACTGGACGCAAATCAAGCGAACCTATTCTTAGATTTACAATCCATATATTCTATTTTACATGCCACCATAAAATCCTGTCTTATTTTTCCAGATGCAAGTAAAGCTGCTTTTACTGCATCACCAAGCTCTTGTTTCCTAGCAAACCGCAACAAAACGGGTACAATTTCTAGTGATGCTTCAGTAAAAAACGAATGCCTCATGGAACAAGCCTATTTCCCTTTGTCAACCAGTCAACACAGTAGCATGTCCTCTGGCCTGAACCCATTCCGTACAGGGAACAATGAGGATATGCAGCTTACAGGTAGGGAGCAATAGACTCCTCCTTCCCCTTGCCTCTTATTCTTCTTATGTAAGTGGTTTCATTGAAAGGAACATGGGAGAAAATAGCACTGAAATTTCCAAGGCTATTTTCTGTTGGTTGGATTCTGAAAAACCTCAATATGCAGACACAAGCTAATCACCCTATTTTATTTTTCCAGGTCAAACAGAGCTCTCTCAGAGCACTGGCCATCTTATGACACCACCCATTTCTCCTGCTATGGTTAGTCGTGGAAGTGTTATCAACCAGGGACCAATGGCTGGAAGACCTCCAAGTGTAGGTCCATCATTATCTGCACATTCCCATTGCTCTTCTTACTCAGAATCCCTTTACCAGACTGTGCCACAGACAAACCAGAATTTTTATGGTGTTAGTGCCAATTACCCAGCCATGTTCAGGACTCAGACTCATCCCTCTTCTGGAGCCTATCAGCATAGAGCTGAACCTAGTCACTACACAGCCACGAATGAGCAGCGATTCTCAAGAGACTTCTTCAGTAGCAGCTGTGCTGTTTCTCCCTACAGTGCCAGGTCGCCTTCTAATTATGAATCTTCTGCAAATGTACAGGAGTCTCACAACATGCAGTTTTTGAATAATGGGGGCTACAACTTCATGAACAATTCAGTGACCTGTCAAGGATCACCGTATCCCTCAAATGCTTCCAACGGTATTAAATCTTTCCAGCTATTTATTTTATTTTCCTTGTTTGTCATTTCTTACCTAGCATTCCAGAATTGTCTGTTCCATAGATAAAGGATGTCTCCTCAAAACAAGGCAGACATGAATTTTAAAATGTTTAAGTCAAAGTTACTTAATGTATTTATAGTGCAATTCTATACAGAGTTACACCTTTCTAAGTCCACTGATATCAATGAGCTTCAGGGTATAACTCTGCTTAGGACTGTATTGAGTCCTAACTGTATGATCTACAGAACTCTTAAGGTGGTAAACGTACCTTCTCCATGAAGTCAATGGGAATAAGCCTACAAAAGAAGTGTTATGGTTCTTCAGTCTTCTGGTTTATAGACAGGTCTACTCATAGCTATGGAGCCTCATCAGTTATATAAGAAACACACAGCTTATGAATAGGGAGAAGTCTACCTTGATTTCATTCACTTGGAAATGAGATCTAGACTCCTTTGTCACTTACACATAGAGATCTACATATTCAAATTCTAAGTTTCTTGATGCACAAAGCAATTTACAATTCTTATGTCATTTGATCCTGACGATCATCATCAGAGGCAGGTTAGGCTGAGATAGTCACTCAGTGAATATCTTGGATGGAACCTGTCATTCCAAAATGGAAATTATCCATATAGGAACTGAGTTAATCAAGGAAATGATTAATTATGGTTTGTATGACATAAGAACTTTTAATGGTATTTGTAGTGAGAGCTGCACTGAAGGGTCCAGGAAAAGGGGATTCCTGGCCCACCTGTCTGTGGCATTTCATTTCAGCAGGAGAAACCATGTTGCAACCTATGTAAACTGAAGTGGAACCAACAATGGCCACATCCATCTCATATTAATTCATCTCTGCCCTAGATTTTGTGTGAGTCACTCCACCTGAGATGGATCACAACAGGGTAGAAAGGAAGCCTGTGTGGTTCTCAGTTTTCATTCCCAACTTGCCAGGATGGAGGTTTTATACAAAAATGGCTGTAAGCTATTTTGGAGTCTAATATTTATTGAAAGGTGGGATGCAAATGTAAACAAAAACAAATAGACTCCTCTTTTGATCTCATTGGTAACCTTGTCCACAGACACCATCCTATGTCCGAAGCAGGAAGTTTACCTCAGACGGTCATTGGCAATTGATGGTGCAACCATATCTCCTCTGATGGACTTCGTTGGGTATAAGGTTGAAAGTGACCTTAAAAACTTATTGAGTATTGCATCAGAAAATAGTCCATCTAAAATAATCCAACAAAATTCAAAAGCTGAATCTCAAGGCCACCTTTCTATGGTTAGTTTTTTAGTGCCCCAAAATGACAGGGTACCCTGGCATGACTTAATCTGACCAATGGCATTTAACATGAGCAGCTGACTGTGCAGAGTGGTCCTTGCTGTTTGCAAGCCATGTGTCAAAACAGATGCAATCTCTAAGGTCTACGATCTGTCTCCCCACCCTGTTGCACCTCATTGGTGAGAATAAATAATCCATTTCAGAAGTAGAACTTGAATGCACTAGTTACAGACTCTGGAGCAATAGTTTCACATTTCTAGTCTCCCTGAGATCCAAATGACACACATCTCTAGGGGATCCATGAAGGACTCATTCAAGCAGTTTTTATTGGAAAATAGCAGCAAGGGAGGGGATGTGGGGTTTAACTCTTTTCCTTCATGCAGTTCCCCTGACCTCAGACCAGCCCGTCTATGCATCACCCTGCACTATTTATCAATAAAAAGCCACTCTTGTACCATTCTAAGTATACCAACTGTGTTATTGCTTATAAATTCCTTAGTTACTTGCTGTTCAATTCCTACCAACAGGGTTTTATGGAAATAATATGAACTACACAGAATCCCACAGACTTGGGTCCATGGTAGATCAGCACGTTTCTGTCATCAGCAGCATTCGATCATTACCTCCGTACAGCGACCTTCATGACCCACTTAGCATCTTGGAGGACACCGAAAGAAAACAGGGAGCATCATATTACACAGATGCCTCGACAGCTTGCCGGAATCCTATAAGTAAGTTGATCTGATGTCAGAGCAAGATCTCTGATCTTTTGAATTAAATGCCAAACTACACATGATTTGGATGTCTGTGCCTGCAGCTCCCCAATATTTTTTCCTTTTCAAATGATAGAGACACAGGGCCCCAATTTCAATTGATTTCATAACAGAAAGGTAGCTCCCAGAGAGATAAAAAAATAGAAGACCCTATAACATTTAAACTAATTTGGGAGGAGGACTTAAGCAAGCAAACAATTGGGAAGGCATGGGTTATATAGGCCATTTTTTTTCCTTCCTCTCCTGCTCCTCCATTCAGTTTGAAACCATATGCAGCCATTTACTTGATACCAGATAGGTTATAGATGAAAGAATCATAGAACTTTGTGTAATGTTCAGGTCAGTTTGTGTAATTTATAATACAGTCCTAAACTGAGTTACATGTTTCTAAGTCCATTGAAGTCAACGGGCTTAGAAGGGTGTAATCCTTCTTAGGGCTGCAGTGGTATTTTTTGCTAAATGTTCATGCTATCTCAACACCCGTATGAGTTGGAAATACTATTTGCATACAAGCTGGGCCTCAGTGGAGAAACTAGCAGCAGCAATTCATGACAGTACAAAAGAAGAGGGGCTTCCTCGGAAATAACTCCTTACGCTACATTCATGTGAAGGTTAGAGAAAGGAACGGAGAGCAATCTGTATCAAGGCTCAGCCTCTGCATCTCTCTACAGCAAACAGGACTTGATTTTGGAGCACATGAAAAAGGATAGTTAGAAGTGTCCTTGAACAGGTTCCAATTTTATTCATTTACTTTGTCCTCCTTTTTCACTGGGAATGAAGGCAGATTGCACAGTATAAATCAATGCAATCATATACAGGATTAAAGCAACCTGGACCAAGGCATAAAGTATAAAACATGATATGATTAAACAGGGCAGAAAATGATACTACATTAAGTATAAAAACAAAGCAGTGATAGTAGGATACAACAGACAGCAAAAACATCCTATACACTGTGATCTCGTTCACAATTCTGTTTTACATAGTTTTCAGGAAGGCTCCTGTGCTTCGATTGGCAATGGGGTTTCCACATGGCAGGTTTCCCTCCTGTTTTGTTGCCCCAATCCCCCAGCAGCATCCACCCCCCTTATGCCACTGGGGATTTTCCAGTTTTTCATTTTTAAAAAAAAAATGGTGATTGAATATTGTTTTATCGTTATCTGTGTATCGGGTTCCCTTAATTCCAAGCTTTATTTTTTAAAGTCTCTAACACTTTTCTTTTCTTTTTTGGTGAGTATTTATGTGTGTGTGCCTGAAAGTCATGGCTGACTTCTGGCGACCCCTAGTGGGGCTTGGACATTTCAGAGAGGTGATCTGCTATTGCCTGCCTCTGCGTCCCAGCCCTGGTGTTCCTTGGAGGCCTCCCATCCAAGTATTTGCCGGGGTTTGCCCTGCTTAGCTTCTGAGATCTGACAAGATCAGGCTTGCCTGGAGTCTCTAACCCTTTTTATGCAAGTTATAAGGAGAAAAGCATGTTGCCACAATGAAAGAGCCTCAAGACTGACTTTTACAGAGAGACAGCAAATAGATTCGCCACATATCAGCATTTAGAGGAGAGGACTTCCAGTCAGAAGGCACCATTTCCAGGCAGACTTGAGCCCTGGCATCTCTTTTTCCAGGGCTCTTTTTGTAGAAAAAGCCCAGCAGGAACTCATTAGCATAATAGGCCACACCCAACAGCAGAAACTAATTAGCATATTAGGCCACACCCTGACAGCACAGCTCATTAGCACATTAGGCTGCACCCCCATGTTACCAGAAGTGTGGTCATACAGCCACACCCACCTTTTGCTTGTTATTCTGTTTACCTTGTTTGTTGTCAAAACCCAGGGCTTTTTTGTTGCAGGAACTCCTTTGCATGTTAGGCCACACACCCCTAATGTAGCCAATCCTAATGAGTTTCTGCTGTTGGGTGTGGCCTATTATACTAATGAGTTCCTGCTGGGTGTGGCCAACTTGGGAGCCAGCTGGAACTCCGTTCCTGTGCGTTCCTGCCCAAAAATAGCCCTGTCTTTTTCTAACATTCAAACATGAAAAGAGGAGAAAGAATCAAACTGTCACTATTGTGATTTTCTTTGTAGCTTCAGGTATCCAACCTGCCATATTGACATCATCCTCCCAGTGCATGTTTGGAAATTCTAGGCACTGTCCTTCCCAGGAAACGATGGACTCTTCTGGACAGGCAACCAGAGACATGGTATCATCTTTGCCACCAATCAACACTGTCTTCATGGGAACTGCTGCAGGAGGCACCTGAGTTTCAAGACTAGCTACATTTTGTTCTAATTTATTGCCTTGTTCTAGTATTGACTGCTACTTAAAACCCTCTTTACTAACTGGAATAGAAAAGTATTACAAATAATTTTGAGGATTCCACCCGGGGGGGGGGAGAGAATTACTGTGCACAAAAAGAAAAAAAAAGAAAAAAGGCAGGACACAGAATATCTCTGATGTCATAATGAGAATACAACTGACACTAGCAGTGCTGTTCTCATACAGGGATTTTAAAAAAGTATGTCCTCTTATGGCTCCCTAGTTCCCCCTTATCACTCTTTAACCACTATCTCCTGTTTCCTTCATTAGAAGAAAGCTTCCCTTCTATTCTTAATTTATGGTCTATGCATGAACACATGAAGCTGCCTTATACTGAGGCAGATCATTGGTCTATCAGGGTCAGTACTGTCTACTGTGACTGGCAGTGGCTCTCCAGAGTGTCATGTGGAGGTCTTTCACATCAACTGCTATATGATCCTTTTAACTGAAAATACCAGAGATAAAATTTGGGAACTTCTGTATGTAAAGCAGATGCTCTACCACTAAGCCATGACCACTCCCCTACTTTTTCTTTTCTTTTTTTGTGTGGGGGCATTTTGTGTGTGTGTGTGTTTGCATGTGTGGAAGTCATAGTGACTTCCAGTGAGCCCTAGTGGGGTTTGGATGTTTCAGAGAGGTGGCTTGATTGCCTGCCTCTGTGTCTTAGTCCTCATATTCCTTGAAGATCTCCCTTCCAATTACTTGCCAGGGCCGGCCCTGCTTAGCTTCCGAGATCTGATGAGATTGGGCTTGCCTGAACTATCCAGGTCAGGGCCCTACTTTGTCTGGTAGTTGCAGAAGTTGCTTCTGACTTATGGTGACTCTATGAATTAATAACCTTTAAAAAGCCCTTGCTCAGGTTTTGCAAACAGAAGGCCATGGGTTCCTTGACTGAGTCAATCCACCTGACATTGGGTGTTCCTCTTCTCCTCCTGCCTTCAACTTTTCCCAGCATTATTGTCTTTCATGGTGACTCTTGTCTTCTCATGATGCAACCAAGGTATGATAGCCCCAGTTTAGTCATTTTAGCTTGTAGAGGGAATTCAGACTTTATTTCAACTAGAACCCACATTTGTCTTTTGGGCTCTCTGTAAAACTCTTCTCCAACACCATGTTTCAAATTAATCCATTTTTCCTGTCTGCTTTCTGTATTGTCCAACTTTCACATCCATTCATTCCCCATTCATAATGGGGAATACCATAGCATGAATTATTTTGGTGTCCAGTGACACTTCCTTACACTTAAAGATCTTTGCTAGTTCCTTCTTGGCTGCCTTTCCAGTCTCAGTCTCCTGATTTCTTGGCTGCAGTCTCCTTTTTAGTTGATGATGATGGAGCTGAGGAATAGAAAATCCTGAACAATTTCTTAATTGTCAGCTGTAGAGCTGTGTAATTCATCATTACTTATCAATTTCTGGATGTTCAGCAGTAATCCTACTTTGGCACTTTGTCCTTGAACTTTCGTCAGTATTCATTCCAAGTCTGTACTATTTTCTGCCAGCAAAGCGGTGTCATCTGCTTATCTCAAATTGTCATTGTCCCTTTCACCAATTTTCACTCCACCTTTGTCTAAATCTAATCCAGATTTCTTTATGATACGTTCTTCATACAGGATGAACAGATAGGGTGATAAAATACATCCTTGTCTGACACCTTTGCTAATTGAAAACCATTCTTTTTCTCCTCTGTCCTGACAGTAGCCTCTTGTCCAGAGTACAGGTTGCACATCAAAATAATGTTATGGCACATCCATTATATTTAAAAGCCACCAAAGCTTTCCAGGATCCACAGAGCTAAAAGCTTGTTGTAATCTATAAAACACAAACTGATTTTCTGTTGAACGTCTCTGGCATGCTCCAGTAACCACTGTGAATTTGCAGTATAGTCTCTACTGCCCTTCCCTTTTCTGAACCCAGCTTGAACATCTGGTATTTTTCATTCAATATAGAGTTAAATTCCTTGTTGTAAAATTTTGAGTATCACTTTACTTGCATGGAAATTAATGTGATGGTCGAATGTTGCTGCAATCGTTAATGTTTCCTTTTTTTCAGAATTGGAGTGTTTCCAGTCTGTGGGCCATTGTTTTGATTTCCATATTTGTTGGCATAATAAGATGATAGTGGAGCTGTCTGAACTTAACTCCACTGCACCATTATGCTCTATGTCATCTTATAATTCCAACACAAGCTGTGACACTGTTCTGAGAAAACAACTGATCATCTGTGTCTGATAAATTGGGCCTAATTGGGGAGCAATCTGTAGTTCAATTAAGGCATCATGGTTTCATAAAATTGTATCGCCTGTGTCATTTTTGGCTGTTTTCCTTTATATTGCTATACTTTTTATAATGAATATTATATAGCCCCTGGATATAAGTACATGTACATGTGCACTTTGTCCCCTGTTATGCTACATTTCGTATTTGTAGCATGAATCTGCTTCATACAGAGTTACCAAATCCAAACAAAACAGACCTCCCAGTAATCACACAGCCAAGGAAACAAAACAAAACTGGGGCCAATATAGAACCAATAATACACTTTAAAACATGAGTAGTATGCTGAATACAATTGCTTTATACTAGATAGTTACTATAAAGTATACAAAATTTCCCCAAATATTTACAACAATAAGAATACAATAGAATGTCAGTGGCTGCCAACAGCCCCAAGATAACAGTGGAATTCCTAAACAGTTACTGTTGGCAGTCAAAAATGTATAAGGCTTAATGAGCTAAAAGCTACTGGAGCTTGACGAAGCAGCCGGCTTACACTTGGTTTCGTCTAGTGACTTCCTCATAAGCAGCTTAACTGATGTTGTATACAAGTTTTCTTAATATGTGTATTTTCCTGGTTTTTAAGATACTTCTCTAGAGTTGCTACCTTTAATATAGGGACTAGCCCTTATTTCCTTGGACCTTTGGCTACGAAGCTTAGTCTATCAAGGACAGGTCCCATAGGAGATATGGTCCAAGGAAATAAGGGCTAGTCCCTATATTAAAGGTAGCAACTCTAGAGAAGTATCTTAAAAACCAGGAAAATACACATATTAAGAAAACTTATATACAACATCAGTTAAGCTGCTTATGAGGAAGTCACTAGACGAAACCAAGTGTAAGCCGGCTGCTTCGTCAAGCTCCAGTAGCTTTTAGCTCATTAAGCCTCATACAGAGTTACTGCAGTTCTTGTGTACACTTACTTTACATGTGTGACATCTACTAATCTTGTACAAAGGGCCTGGCTGTTCATAACGTGGATATATAGTTGACAGTAGCACTGCATCATGGTCTCTTTAATGTTTAAATTCCATCTGTATATCTTTGCTCTCATACTTCCTGCATTAGAGTTGAAAGAGAGGAGCACAGTGCTTACTTCTGTATGTGTACTTATGAGTCTGCTTGCTTCTGTCAGTGTTCCACATATGCCCAGTTGCATATTTACCATGTGAATTGTCCAATTTGTGTTTAGTATTAGCATGTCAGCAATAGTAGCTTTGGTAAGAGCACCACTGGTCTGCTAATACTATATATCATGACAGCTAGGGTGGTACATGAGGACCCCATGGCACTTGTTGATATATTTCTTGGCACCTGCCTGTTTTTAAGCATTAGGTATTAAATCTGAAGGGTCTTGAATAGAACGGGGGGGAAGACAGTGGTTTTTATCTTGCTCTCTCCTTGGTCACTGACAAGCAAAACACAGATTTTCACAGGTCTCTGGGCTTGGAAACCTCTCCCTGTCACCATGCAAGCAGCAAACTTCCCCAAACCAAACAGCATCTCTTATCATACTAAAAAGCTGAACTCAGCTTTTCATCTCTTCCTTGGACCACAAGGTGTTTCAGGGGAGCCCAGAGGAGAGCCCATTGGGAAGAACCTGCCTCACTCATAGGGCTTGGAATTTCCTACTGTTGTGATTGGCAGCCATTTGCAATTGTCATACACACTGTATGGCAGCCATTTTGTGACGACACCCACAACCCTTTTAAAAAAATTCCCCAAGTGCCTGAAAGCACAACAATGCTGAGGACCCTTGCTATATCTTCAAGAGTTGACTCATATGGTAAGTTTGTATGTGACATTGTATGCAGATAATGCTTACACATCCAAGTGCTTTAAAATTGCGATGTGCCATTTGGCATGGTTGGGAAGTGCTCCTATTTCATCCATTGCTTTTTGGAACGGAGTTGCTCGATCAGACTTCCAAGTATACTCCATTTCACTGTGGGATTGACCTGTCACTGTGCAGTCAGATGGCTCAGATGGGCAAGGGGGGGTTGCTTGCTTTTGTGCATGTGCATAAGCGAGGATGCAGTTTTTTGCTCATGCGCTTTCCAAATTCTGGGAGTCAATTCTCCACCTTGGCTGCCTGCCAATCCTTCCATGAAGCATTGGCTGCTTGCCAATCCTTCCATGAAGCACTGTGATTCCCTGATGGAGCCATAGTTGCCGGACAAAGATCACTCCCTTTCCTGCTCACTTTCAAAGCTGGCCTAGAGATGGTGACAATTATGTGGTTATGCGCATATTGCTAAGCGAGCAAAAAAAAATGGTGCCCAGTCAGAATGGAATGAACAAATCATCCCAATGGTCTAAGAGTGTGCTTGAGTGATCAGACTAGGGAAACTCTGTCTGTGGCCCATTGGCAAGCATTAGAACTGGAGTTTCCCAGATGTCTTTTTACACCATTTCAGGGGCGAACCAGTATGAGGTGCTGACAACTGCAGAACCTTTCACAGATGTTGCTGTCTGATCATGCACTTTAGATCCATCAGGCATCAACTTCAAAGTCGGATCTGAAGGCACATCTGACTGCAGCTTAACAGCAGCAATAGTCACATCTGTTTTGGTGCCAATACAGGAGGTACAATGTTTGATAGCAGGTGCATGTGAAGGTGATGATGGAATTTGACAGACACAGTGGTTTTCTGTATCAGTCTATGGGT